TTTTCGTTACCTATCATCAAGTACATGAGTAAATCTTGATATTTTAGCATGTCTGAATCGTCTGTACCAAGACAAAGATTATTCAAATGACATTCTTTTTTTAATAAATAGTTCTTTCATGAAATTTGAACTACAGAAAAAGTTTATGATTAAGCTTCAGCTTGATTCACATAACCATTATTGGAAGACTTATTCAACTTCGATGAAACTAATACGATAGATAACCAGAAAAAAACCACTAAATAATGACGAAAATGATGAACAGATGCGATTCATTACCATCCATTATAATTCGCGTTCCACTTAAAATGTTTGAAACCTACATTCTTAGTGAAATATAGGTAGACAAATTTTTCTACTAGTAGCATGTATCATAGGCGAGTTTCGAGAGAATGGTAGACTTTTGCCCACTACTGTGTTTAAAAATTTGATAAAATGTTATTATGAAAAGAACTAACATGTCAACAATAAAATATGCACTTTTCATTTCACTGAATAGTTCATTTATAAATGCATTATGAAAAATCTGTATATAATTTCTAATGCATCTAATATCAGTAGAAATTTATTATTAACATCATATTGTTTGACGAGTGTAAGTTAAAATACATTTGAAATAGAATAGCAAATGAAATGAGACATCTAAAAAAAAAAAGTTTTTTTTTATTAAATAGCTATCTTTTATGCTTTCTTCTGGCATTAATGTTGTCATACAACTGTCAACGTATACATAATAATCATGATTACTCCGAGTGTCAATATCTGTATCTAAGATCTTTATCATTTGTTTCCATATAAAACAGTTATTTGAAACGTTTTAAATAAATCGTTGATTGTTGGTTTTATTTAATCAAAAAAATTCATAATTCACATAATGCTATTATGTACTTGTTAATCCACTCTATGTTCTTTTTCTATTGAAAATCACATACTCAACAAGGTACTGTACATCAGTACACATTTTCATGGTATATTAAACGATTACTTGTTCATTCAACCATTTATTAAGATCATATATTGTAAAATAAAAGTCAAAAAAAAAACAAGTTTTTCATTGATTTGATTTGGATAAAACAAAAAAAGTACAAAAAAAAATCATTATCAAATAGACACACGCACATGACAAGCTTTGCAGCTGCCTTAGAAATTTGTTTGATTTCAATGCCGACAACAGAGTGCTGATATGGTCACGCAGAGAGAACATAAAGACACAAAAAAAAAGAGAAATGACGATCATGCTTTTTATTCTCTTTGTTTTATTATAAGAAAAGCATTTGTATAGCGCGACGCGCATTTATACAAATTGTTTTTTTCTCTTTAACAAAATTTGATTAGCCGTTGTCGACTATCAACAAGATGTTTCAATGCACTTATCGTCAAGATCAAACGATCTAATTGAAATTTACAAGTTAAATTTCTTCACATATTCTTTCTAGACAAAGAAAATAAACGAAAATATTCTTTTTCTTTTTTCTAATTTAGTTTTCAGGTGTGAGAAAAGATCATAATCAGATTGATGATCCAGTTGTTATTGAAAACAATTATGTGCTAATCCTGATTGGAAAAAAATATTGATGATAGTCATCTTGATTAGGATGCTGGTCGTTGAAAAGAGTGACACACACAAATACATTTTCACTCATTCTGGTCTCATTTTAGACACACCAGGGTGCCTACCTATATGTTGTTGTTGTTGTTGTGCATACCGTTGTAAGGAATAGTCGTATTGGGTGATTAGTGTTCAAGTATGCATGAAGGAGGGACGAATGAATATGACAATACTCTCTTCAAGCTTGCATCATTCACGAAAAGAGAAAATTTTAGGACTTTTCTTTCGTTTTTTTTTTTTCTTTTCAGGTGAATGAACTGCTCAAATCACGCAAATTGTATTCGTCTCTTTTTCAATTGGATGAGAAAAGAAATGGATTTGAGTGTAAGAGAGAAAAAGAATTCACCAATCAATCAGAAATATACAACCAATGAGAAATCAGTAGACATTTCTCTTTTTTTTTCTTTTTTTTTCTTTACAACTACTAACAAAAAAAAAAGACACAAATAGAAGTGCGCACGCATACGATTTGTGCATTATTCATTCAAACCAGCCAAGAGACCATTCATCGTTGTGCGTTACTACTTTAGCCTCTTTTTTTTTCTTCTTTTTCATCGTCGTCTTTTTTACTTAACCCTGCTGTTGCTCCTTTCTCTTCTTTCTCGCTCATGTTCGTTTTACTGACACGATAGTCTGCAGGTGGTTCTTCTTTTTTTTATTCTAACTATACACGTATTACATTCGGGCATCAGCAAGTTAAATAAAGATAAAATCATCATACAGGTAATTGGAAGTTATGATCAGTTCAATCGTAAAGATGTTCTTGTTGTCCAACTGGTGCCGAAACTTATTCTGTCAAGAGCTACTCTGAAAAAGCGCGACAGCTCATCTAATAGATTCACATCATGAGAGCGTTTTTTTTTGTGATTTCCAGATATAATGATCTCAAAATCTGAGAACAATGAATTGAAATTTTCTATTCGAAATTTAATTGAAACAACAACATCAACATGTGAAAATAAAAAAGAAAATCCAATAATAAATCATTCTTTAAAACGAATTGTTATTGAATCTGAATCATCATCAGCAGCAGCAGCAGCGATTTCTCGTCCAATACCATTAGTTAAACCAAAAATGACTCATCCATGTTGGTCATTTTTATCTCAATTAACAAATAAAAATTCTAATGGAAATATTCCATTGAATTCTTCATTAATATTTCTAAGTAAAATGAATCAAGTTTGGCAACAAATGCAACGAACACAAATATCACCATCAATAACAACAATAACAAGTTCAACAACTGAAAATGATGATATATCCGATGAAGATATTTATATGGATACATCATCATCATCTATACGTCGTCGTCATACTGAACTTGATGATGATGATGACGACGATGATGAAGAAATAGATGATGATGATGATGATGATGAAGAAGAAGGTGAATGTTCAACTAGTACAGGTGATGATAAACATAATAGAACATTGAACAGTGAAGAAAATGATAAACTGAAGAATTACCCATGTACACAATGTGGCAAAGTAAACTTCAATTTTATTTTTCATTCCAATGAAAATTTTCTATTTTTTTTTTTAGGTATTTACTGCTCAATATAATTTAGTTCGACATATGCCAGTACATACTGGCATTCGTCCATTTGTTTGCAAGGTTTAGAAAGAAAAAAAAGAAAATTTGAAATATTTATTTTTAATCTTTTTCATTTAGATATGTGGTAAAGGTTTTCGACAAGCATCAACACTTTGTCGTCATAAAATCATTCATACATCTGAAAAACCACATGCTTGTCGTATTTGTGGTAAAGCATTTAATCGTTCATCAACATTAAATACACATATGCGTATACATCAAAATTTTAAACCATGGGTATTTTTATCATAAGAAAAAGAAAAAGTTTATTCATTGTTTTTTGTAGATTTGTGAATTTTGTGGTAAAGGTTTTCATCAAAAAGGTAATTGGAAAAATCATAAATTAACACATTCATCTATAAAACAGTATCAATGTTCAATATGTTCAAAAGTAGAGATTTATGAATGTTTTTTTTGTTTTTGCATCTCAAATTTCTGTATCATTAAATTTTAGGCATTTCATCAAATATATAATTTAAAATTTCATATGTATACACATTCAGAAATTAAACCATATTCATGTATGATATGTTCAAAAGGTTTTTGTCGAAATTTTGATTTAAAAAAACATATGAGAAATGTTCATGTAAGTAGTACAAGTACAAATACAAGTGTGAAAATAAATACAAATCATTGTGGTGAAGATGATGATGATGATGACGATGAAGATTGTCATTGACAATATTTTTCTTCTTTCTTTCTTTTTTTTTCATTTAATCTTGTTTCGTTTTCTTTCTTTTTTTTTTGTATATGTGTGTGTGTGTGTACTGATCACGAGAAAAAATAAATATATTTGCGTGTGTATATGTATTAATTGAAGTCACTTAACCAATTAATCGAGTCCGAACACGCGACAGACGAAACAAATGGTCGAATTGTTGCTTACATTTCATGCCTGCCGAGAGGAAACTGAAGCGATAATTAGGGAGGGTGGAGATTTCTTTTTCTACCATACGTTTTTTTTTAGTATTGTATTTTTAACAACTCATCCTTCCCCCCTTCAATTATTCAATGCATGTTTCTGTTGCTTGTTATGTATGTTTTTTTTTCCTCAAATCATAGCGTCTGTTAAGAGAAAAAAAAGAAAAAAAAAAGAAGCCCGCAGGCTTAAAGTACATCCGTTAACTTTTTTTTTTCTTTTATGATAATGTAGGAAGAGAATAAGACGTTTTTAAATGGAAAATGAACATATTAAAGGATGACACATTGTTCGCGTGATAGAGGATTTATTTTATATATATATATTAGTCATTTGGAATTAATATTTTGTTTCATAATGGAGAAGGAAAAGAATTAGAATTTTTTCCGAAAATCATATTAATTCTTCATTCCTAATCTTATTATTTAAATAAAAACAGAACGAAAAATTTGCAAGAATAACAACAACAAAAAACTGTTAACCACTTATCACTTAGTCCAGATTCCTACAGTCTATTTCGGTATGATCATCATTTATTTCTTTCTGATCTTATTCTTTACAATCGTATAAGAGGTACTCATCATCGATGAGAATACAAAAAAAAAAGAAAAAGAAAAAGAAATCAGTTCCATATTGTACACCCATCCGACATTCTTTTCATTTCAACACAATTTTTAATAGGATCTTTTACTTTGCCTCATTCCCACTTGACAACACTTAAAAACAAACGAGGACATCTCAAAAATGTATGTATGCTTGATCATTAGTCAAATCGACGATACAAATTGGCTCCCTTGTGATTTTCATCATAACTAAAATTCAATTGGTCAATAAGTTGAACAAAAAGAAAAACAAAAAACGAACAATTTCTATTTATTTTATTTTTTATTAAAAGCGAAATAAGTCCAAAATGTTTGAAATATTCTTCCAACAATTCTTTCTTCATCTGTTAATTGATGTGTTTTTCTAATATTTGAAAATTTTTGTACAACAAATGATATTAAAAAATATTCAATAATTTTTGCAGAAAAAACCCAAAGAAAAAATTGCCATAATGTTCTTGATATTGTACCTAATATAACATTATCTGTTGATGCTGCATCTTTTATTGATGATATTAAAACAACACGAAAAGCAACAAAAAATGTTTTAAAATTTTCTTCATTTGAAAAAAATAAACGACCAATTAATGTAAATATAAAATAATTTAAAAATGCAAAACATAATATTAAAATAAAACCTTCAGCTGATTTATACATTGTTTCAGCAAGTAAATATGTTTTTGGATTAAATTTAAGTAAATAAAGTAATTTAAATATAGCAAATAAACATATTAAACCAATTAAATGATTTAATATTGTATTATTTATAATTAATACACGAAATGATACAAATAAATGATGAATATTTAATGATTGTATTAGATTATTTAATTGAAGTACATTTTGATCAAAATAAACTAATAAAAAATAATAACAACAAAGTATTAATAATATACCATCAATTATATTTGATAATGTACGAAGAAAAAAAACAAAACCATAAAAACCAAAATTTCTTGTAAATTTTGCTAGATCGAATAATTTTGTTGTAAACTAAAATATTCAATTTTGATTGATTTTTTATATATTCAAAGAAAAATCATGCAGTAATTTATTCAAAAAGATGAAATATAAATTTTGATCTAATAATAGAACGTTCTTATACGTGTTGATTCATTTTTGACTCGGGTCTATCAGAACATTGTTGACGAATTATTGCGTTTTGATAATAGTTTTTAAAAATTAAATGGAGTGTTCCCCACAGAGAATCGTTTCCAAGAGAATAGTTTATTTGAAGAGGTTTTTTATTGTTTCTTTTCTAATATAAGAACATCGAAAACTGCTAGTATATATGAGCAATGTAAGAAACATGTTTGTATCATACTGATATCTACAGATAACAACAATTGAAAGCTCTGTAACTCTCATAGGAAATTGTTCTTATCGAATTCTTTCTCTATGCAAAAATTTCAAGCTAAAATTCCCAATAAAGATACGCAGGATGATCCTAACTTGTCCTGCACATTCATTAAAACAATACCATTAAAATGTAAGAACTCGGTAGGATTAATTTCGAGACACAAACTTGTTTCAAGATTTTCATAGTTCAGTAAGGTCTATATGATACATACAATCTAGATATCTGCATCAAAATCATTTTTAGAAGCGTTCGGAACTTTCTAAGTTATCTACCAGTAGATTAGGTTGAGTGTTAGTGCTTTTTTGAATGATGAATTTAATTCTTAGATATTTATTGTACAAACTGATGTGTTTTGAAGATTCGGTCCACGTGTTCTCTGAGTTTTACCAAGATGAGAAAAAGTCAGAGTCGAGATTGACTCGAAGTTTTTCGCATGAATGTAGACCTTAAACAGAAACCAATCGACTTACAAAAATACATCAATTTGTGCAGTGACTACGAAAGATAAAACTTATGATTCTAAAAACCTCTGATATTAAATTTGTTTTATTAGTGAGACATTTAGTTGAATCTAATACAGATGTCTAAAATAGTTCGGATCAAAGAACACAATGACATGTATGAATATGTCCTCGTAAACCTTTCGAGAGTCATATACCTATAATAACTGAAATACTGATATTCAATTTTTCATAAATGTTTTTTTTTCTCGTTAAACTTGACTTCGATAGAATTGCAGTCACTAAATAAAGTTGTCTTGAAGTCGAATTTACATGAGCAAAATAGTCAAGTATTTTTATTTTTACGTAGTCATAAATTTATGCTTTATATGGTGTGTAATGAACAAAAACACACTATTTTATAGATTCATGAACTATTATCAATAAAAGAACACATCTGATAGACATTCTCATATTAATAAGTATCACAAAACGAAGTACATATATACTAATCAAAAATAATTTCAGAGTTGAAATGTTTGATTCCACATATCACTAGAGTAAAAAAAAACAACAGATGAAATGTACAAGCACTCTTATACATTTCTATGTAGTCTTTAATTACTGAACTTTAAAACATCTACTTTTTGAATTTCTTCTAGCGTACAGATATATTTATGATTAAACTTGAAGACAATTTTGTTTTTCTTTTTTGTCTAAAAAACTACTTACAATTACAAATACTAAAACAGCAAATAAGGAATTAGTCATAACAAATTGTTTTTCAGTATCGCTTTCATTTGTTGATATTTGTTCAGTATCATTCTGTTGTAATGTATTATCATCAATTGTTGCTAATATATAATCAGATACTTCAATAAAAATATCTTTTTCAATCATTCCATATTGATTTTTTTCAATAATTAAAACAAACGAAATCATTGATGATGTTTGAGGAGAATACAAATTTCCTTCAATCATTAAAACTAAAGTTTTTTCATCTAACCAATTATCTATAAATAGTTTTAGATAATGAAAATAAGATAAAAAAAAAAACGAATGGATTTTACATTTATTCAAATCATAATATTTTCTTTTACGATTACAACGTTCAACCTTTCAGACGAAACAAAAAAAAAAAAAGAATCAAAAAAAATTTTGTTTTTATTTAAACATACTGTTTCTTTTGGTAATAAATGAAACATATAATACCATGGTGATTCATATGTTGTATAAAATTTGGTTATTTTTTTATAAGGTAATGCTGACCATATTGATGTATAATTACACATATCTTTACATAAATTATTTGATATTAAAGGTTCTTCCCAACCGGAACATTTTCGTTGACCACCAATCACAAATTTTTTATCATTCATTAAATTTTTTCCACCAACAAAACAACTTGGTGGTATTAAAGGATAGAATAGATGAGTTATTTTTTCATGACAATTTTTACGTTCAACACGAATTTGACGTATACGAATACTTTTACTTAAATATAATGGAGAATCAGCTAGAGAATTGAAAAAAATAAAATAAAATTTTACTTAACAAAAGAAAAACATAAGAAGACATACGAATTTGAACATAATTACATGTATCTTTTTGACAAAAATAATTTTTATGTTCAAGAAAAAGACGATTTTCAATAAAGTAACTAATCCAATCCTAAAGAATAAACATTTTTTTTTAATGGAAAGTTCTTTTTTTGAAATATAAAATTAACCATAGTGTCCGGTATATGATCAATATTTTGAAAAATATCTTCACGAAGAAGTAATTGTAATGTGTATTGTCTCATTGTTAAACGTGTTTCAATATTTTCTGATCTAAAAACAATATTTAAATTTTCAAAAAGAAACCAACAACTATTGTCCATTTCAGAGTAAAGTGAATGTGGGCATATTTTGAATAATTTTAAAACAATAAGGGAGAAATAATTTGGTTTTTCAACACTATCTACAGTCGACATTACTCTATCTTTTTTGCAAAGTCAGTGAAAAAGCTCAGTTACACTAGAAACGTCATCACAAATCATACATTGAGAGGTTTGGGTGTGTGTGGCATTGAAGAAAGTATGTGTAGGCGTTCGATCTGAGATGTGGTAACTCCCTAATTTAGAGATGCTTTCCATCCACATCCATACTCCACACCTTCAGGTTGCTCTCTGATTGTCTGTTTACGAGAATATGGATCCTCCACTATTGTTTCTAAACAAAGCAAAGTCAATGCTATCCAAATATCAAGACAGATGTAGATCAATTCAAAAATAAGTTAGTTTGTCAGAAAAACAATATGTTATTTATTCACACAGGGATCTGCACTGCTTATTTAATAGAATCATATTATATGAAATTATTCCGTTATACACTATTACATAATAGGTTATTAATTGAACTAACTGGAACATATTGACTTATTATCATAAGAATAAATTCAATGTATGGTTTTCGACGACGTTTCTAGTAGAAAAAAAAGCTCCCGAGGCTAATAAATGATGTCATGAAGTTAACGATGACTAAAAACTTATAAAAAGAAAATATTTAGTTAGTTGCGTGAGTTTTAAAAAAAGTGGATGGCTAGCCTTCAGTAAAATCTATATATTTTTTTGAAAGCAAACAGTTATTGATCTTGATCTTGTGTAGATCTATAGAGCAGAAGCGGGACTATCTGTCCATTATCTTATAGATGAGAAAATGTTTTGTTTTCATGATAGATTAAGCTCATTTATAAAGCATAGGGTGTGTCCAAGGAGAAAAGTTACTGAGATTTTTCATTGACTTTGCAAAAAGATAGAGTAATGTCGACTGTAGATAGTGTTGAAAAACCAAATTATTTCTCCCTTATTGTTTTAAAACTATTCAAAATATGCCCACATTCACTTTACTCTGAAATGGACAATAGAAGCTAAAATTCGCTAATGCAAAATTGAAATTGAGAAACGATACTAGAGAATATTAAAGGACAAATTTCTTAAACCGTGTTAATACTATGTGTTAGAATCAATTCAAAACTTCCGTAGAATTTATCGCTATAGTTCATAATTAATGAGATAAGTTTGAAAGTTTTGAATTCTATTATTGGCTTTAGACGGAAGTCTAGTTACAAGTAAAGAATAGAACTAAGAAACTTGATATTTAATAAACTAATAAATAAGAAATTCTTAATGGTAAAAAGTATTATGTTTTAGAATTTAATCAAATAAAACCATAGAAAAACTTCTTATGGCGAATTGACACAAAGAATGAGAAAAATCTAGATGACTTTACTCAAGTAAAAATACTGAGGTCATGATATCCATGTAATTTAATGATTCTCAGCATGTTATTGAAAAAATCGTAGTGCTATAAATATATATATATGTTGTAAAGATTTAGTTGGATATCCTGCTATAAATTATCATCTTCGTACTCAGTCACTCATAATCAATGCTTAATTATTTTGAAGTCATGTTCATTGTGTTTTCGTACATTAATTATCTGACGAAGGAAGCTCTCCAGCTGTTAAGTCACTGTTCGACAGAGACAATATTCGTTTGATAAATATTAGAGAGTAATCGTAAAGTCTAGAATGGCTTGGTTTTCCGAGCTTTTGTTCTTCAGATATTTTTCCATAAAAAAAGTTTCCTAGTATCTCCTATTCTGAGATATTCAATATTCGAAATTCTTTCATGTGCAAAAGCAAATATTTTTCATATATTTACATCTTCAGAAAGAAAATCTTCGAAAATTTAAAACTTATAGAATCAACGAATTTGATTGAAAGCTTTGTTCATAAAAAGTTTAAAGTCGATTTTCTACGTGGTTACAGATTGTTGTAGAAAAATTCAGTAAAATTTCGATATTTCAAGAATGAAGGCTCGGAAAACGAAACCATTCTAGATTTTTCTATTACTCACTAGTACTCCTAAAATGAATATTGTCTCAGTCGAAAAACGATTTAATATGTACAGATGTTCTCTCATTATTATTACAACAAAGATTTATGCTTACATCGAAAAGAATAAGAACAAATCGTACACAAAAAACTTACGTATTAGCAAAGACCATAATAATAATAACCATAAATACAATATAACCAATAACATCTCTAACAGCACGAATAATTGATGATTCAAGAAAACGTTCACGAATACGTTCACGTAATTGTACATCAGTTAATGTAATATCTCGATTAAGTGTAAATGTATGATTTAATGGATGTTGTTTAATATCAATCATAGATACAATTGGAATCTTAAATGAGGAAAAGAAACAATTAGTTTGTTATTGTTTTAATTTTATTTATTTTTAAATATTATTTACTTGAACAACAGATGAAATAAATTTATCTTCATCTGTTATATGAAAAAATGTTGCATTAAGTAATGATATAATTAATATAACAATTATTTCAAAAACTAATGTAAATAATATCGTTAATATATGTATAAATATAATTGCTGATGTTAAAAAATAATTTTCTATTTCTGTAAATGTTTTCATTGTTAAATACATAGATACAATCGATACTATACCAAGAATAATCGATATACTATAGAAAATAAATAAATAGAAAATATACATATTAAATGTTGGTTGATTAGATTTTTTTGGCCTAAAATAATAGAATATTTATTGGTAAGAAACAAAAAAAAAAAAAACTTAACCAATGAATTCTTAATTTAATTGTTGGTATGTTGATGTTTTGTTGTTGTATACTCGATTGAGAACTTTCAGTTGATAATGAAACTTCATCATCATCGAGTGATTGATTTTGTTGTGAAAATTTATTATTTGGTTGAGAGATTGAAATTGAACGATTTTTTAAAGCGATTGGTGTTTGTATTTTATTTATTTCGAACTTTAAAAGAAAAATATATTTGAAAATTTTTTTTTTTTTTATTGTATTAATATAAATACTTGTCGATTTGTTTTCATTGAAGAATATGAATTAAGATTTAAATTTGATTTATATTGTTGACTATCATAAGAATTATTATTTGATTCAATTTGACTATCTGATTGTGAACTAGTTTCATCATTTTCTCCTAATGTACTAATACTAAAACGATGTTGTAAATCAAATTTATGCATATATTTAAATTGTTCTATATCTTGACGATATGAATTTAAATCCGATATACTTGATGCCATTGTATATATGATTGCATGGAAATTATTAAAATTTTCATAACGTCTTGTAGCTGTTGATAATTGACGATAGAGTTCAATACGATTTGTTAAACATGTTAAACCCCATACAAATATTGGTGTAAGAATACCAATAAGTGAACTGAGAAATAGCGCAATGAAAAGTGATGGAAATAAATTGAGACGAATGATCTGAAAAGAAAAAATTTTAAAGTTGAATCGTATTGCATTATTGCACTAGCCAAAAATATAAGATCAACATATTTTTGATCTTTTTTTTTGGGGGAGTGATTCTAACTATTTAAAACTCATATCTATGTAATGATTTGAATAGTCAAAAAAGTTATCTATCAAATGTATTTCATCATATTGAAAAATAAGTTTTTAAGAGTATCATCGTATATCTGGAAGAAAGTGAGAAGTTGTTGTATTTTCTACGAGTTTTTCTTAAAAAGTTATAAGTATCATAAAAAACAAAAAGATGCATTTTTTCTTTTAGCAATTCTATAATAAACTTCAATTTTTGATGCTTAGAACTTTTTATGAGAACGCTAAAGTAAAATATAGAAGCATCTCATTTTATTCTAAATTAAGATGATACTCTTCAAAATTAATTTCTGAGTATGATGAAATATATTTGATAGAGAACTTCATTAGCTATTCAAATCATTATTTGAATTTGAGTTAAATGCTTGATATCATGAAAAAAAATCAAAAATACGTTCATCTTATTTTTTTTCACCACTACTGATAGAAATTAAGTTTTTTTTTGTAGATTTTACATCATGCACTTAATTTTTAATCATAAAAAAACTTTCTTTAATTTCAGTTCTATACATTTCGCATTGCAAATATAGTTTTATATTATTTGTACACAGACGCATTTCTGCATGTATTACATATTAATTAACCTTATGTTGACTGCAGTCGGATGGGTTCGAGTCTAAGAAAACATTCGATACTTATAATAAATTTAATTCAATTTCTTTTATTTTATCTTTACTTCATTAGAAAAATAGAAAAAAAAATGAATCAAATTTTTCTATACTATATTATCCAGATTTGACCATGACTATAAAACATATTACTTGTCAAGCTTATTTTATATTCAAACTGAAAAAGTTTAGTCAAGTAAAATCGAATTCGTATTTAGATTATTCGAACCTAAAAAGTTCTATGCTTGACACTGCTATCATGTATAGTCTCTTCACTACAGTCCCAATGTATTCTGAAAATCTCATGTAATTTAAATATATGTAGTTCAAGATTGAATTTTGAGAGAAGAGAGAGTCTTAACATCTGTTAATCTTAGTACACAAAATATAAATAAAATTACCTGATAGATTTCCATCCAATCAGTTGCAACAAATGATTGATCAACTAAAAATAAAAATGATGGAAATATATAAGCACATCTTTGATTCATCACGATATTTCGACATGATATAATAAGAATTTGAATAAAATAAAGTTGAATTATAATTAAACAAAAATAAATATGTAAACGATATATTCTTGATAATGTATTTATTTTTTGTTTATTAAATATTGAATTTAATAAATGATAATGATAATAAAGCCATGAATATGTTGAAAGAAATAAATGACCAAATGCATATTGATCAACTTCTTGTGCAACATAAAATATTTCATTAATCATATTAAAACCTTTTCGTAATGATAACCATGTATAACAACAAAAATAATATGTTCGATAATAATTATAATCATATAATATACAATGACGTATATAATAATCAGATTTAATATTTATTTCATCATGCCACATATTCAATGCAACAATTCGACCTAAATAAAAAATATATTAAATCAATTAATGGTTGATTAGAAAGGTTTTTACACAAGATGTTGGTTCATTTTTGATTTGTTATCAACGTATTTTCGATCAGTCAAAAGCTATGAGTTAGGATGTCCGTTTCGAAATATGACCTTAGAACTTTTATCTCAGTAAAAAAAATTTGTGATAAGTGTAAAAAAATTAGTTTAGATGAAACTTATGGGCAGATGTTTTCGGTGAACATATTTATTTATATTATCGTGTTTGAAAACATTTCAGACGAGATAAAAAAAACGTAGGCTTAGTGATGGAGTGTCTATTTTTTTTCAAGAATACTAATACTTTAACTCAAGCATTAATTCAAGAACTTCTTTCAACATAAAACGGTTATCGATTTTTCACAAATGAATGCTTAGAAAAAAAACGAAAATTAAGGTAACTTATTCAAAGGAAAATAAACTAGATGGTATTCGAGTTTCGACTCGAATACGAAATGCGGTGCGAAGCACGAATCTCTCGAATCTTCGAAAAAACGCATTTCGAATCGAAATTCAATAATCGCTCTATTGGAAATTTATCTCATTGAGACAAATTTTTGTACATCCATATTCTCTTAATTCATAGCTTTTGATACTTGCTACCGGATGAAAAAATGAACAAACATATTGTCTAAAAATTTTTCGATCATCCGACATATATATATATATATGAATAACCTATATCGATAAAACTAGTAATTAAAAATTGATTAACACTTCCACGTTGAAATACATTTGATAAATTTAAATTTAAACAATGTAATTCATCATGACATTTTTCACCAATTAAACGAATGTAAATTTTAAAATCTTTTGATGTTGATTGTTGAAGACCAGTGAATATCGTTAATTGATAAAGATGAACATTAACAGCAGCTACTTGATTATCAGCAATAAAATATATAAAAGGTTTCTAGAAAATTGAATAAAATAAATATTAGTCAATTCAATTTTTGTTCTAAATACATACATAATCATCTAATGTATCTTTATAAATAGCATATAGACCAAGAATAAGAAATATAAATAGTAATAAAGAAAGATAAATGTAAAAATGAAGCCAAGTTTGAGCATTTAATTCGAATTCAACAAGAATTGGTTTTGGTTGACATAAAACAAAGTATTTTGTTGTATGTGTATGACAATAACATGTTACATGAGCATTTGGTAATAATAAATGACCATTTAATAAGCTTTTATTTTCATTAATCAATTGACATTTATCATCTTGTAACTAAAAATGAACAAAAATAAAACACAAAATAATATTCCAAGTGAAATACTCTTTTAAGATTCACATTCGTTTCATATTTCTCATTAAATGATGATGATAAAAGATAAATGGATTTAGCAAACATGAAATGTGCTTGATTTGTCGTAAGATTTGATATGTGGTGTGTTTTATTTTGAATCCTTAGGTTACAGGGTTTCACATATAAACGAACTGAACTTTTAGGCAGTTTATAATTTTAATAATCTACTCCCGTTCTCTTATAATTTTAATATCACAACATCAATATATATAAATATATAATATCATTGTAGATATATATCGAATGGAAAAGAAGAAACTGTGGATTTTCCGATCTATGAAAATTCATAGACTCTCTATACCCGACAATGTTCAAAGTTCAGTGGAATCTAACAGAAATTCGTATAATTGCTTAGAATTCATTGTAGCTTCAGAAAAGTGTGATTTCTATTAAGCTCTTATCTTAGAGATTTTACGAACTTCTACTAATTGTGATCCTTTCTATTGATTTTAGCATTTCACATTAGTTATATTCCTCTTTGTCAAGTGAGATGTTTTTGTTTTTTTTTAATATAATTTGTCTTATTGAACATCTTTTCTTTTACTGACATTTGTCTTCTACATTAATTATACTATATTTGTTTTCTTTGAAAAAATAATAAAATTCTTTCGAAAAATCCTACCTGTAAAAATCCTTCTAAGTTTTAGAAGGAAACTCGAATTCATTATTACAGAATTTATTTGTTTTCAAATTTCTATTATTATTTTACTACTGTGTAGTTGTATATGAAATTATTAAACATAATTGACTAGGAAAATGTTTGTGTTATTCTTAAAGGTTTTAAATTTCTAAAAGTTTACTATTTAGTTTCAAGAAAGAAAAGTTAACCATTAAAGAGTTTATTCTGGTTAGATACTTTATTGGCATATAGTTATATGTAATAGTAGTGAATATGACTATGTTCTGATTTCGAACACTATTCTTTTGCCAAATAAGGAAGAACATCCATAATGTGGAATCGGATATCAAAAGAGGAAAATGGTCACATGGAAGAACCAAGACAAAAAAAAAGAAGAATTGAGTATCTAATTTTTTTTTAGGTTCATAATCAAGATCATCCTTATTCTTTGTATCAAATACTTGAATAGATCGATAATAAAAAGAACGTAATCTCTTTTAATAACGATTAAGATTCAAAAGACAATCTAAACATTATTGTTCTATTTGAATAAAAATGTTTTTATTTGTTATTGATGCAACTCTTCTTGAATGTGTTAAACGTTGTAAAGATTTTTTCTTATTCAACGTGAACCATTATTAATTCTGTTGATTCTTGCATGTACGTTATCCAAGCTCAAAGATCTAGATTTGTTTAATAATGAGAAAATTTAAGTAACAACATGATCCTTCTACATGATTGTTGGTTTCTAGTTGAATTCTAATTCGATTAAATAAAGTTCATTTATCATTTTCATATATCTATTTTCGTTGAGATCCCTAATACGAATATTTATGTCTCTCCTCTCATATCATACACACTAGAAATTGAAGTTTTTGACTACAAAGTAGTATACCTTTGTATAATAATCTTCACTAATATTTCTATTAAATGCATAACAACCTGTTTCAACAACAAGAAAATATCCTGTTCGTTTTAAATTTCGAATAGATACATCTTTTGATGTAACTTCAACTTGTGCACATACAATTGACATTGATTTAATCGGTATTGAATAAACAAAATAATTATTTTGCCATAAATCAATATTAATTATATATTTAAGATATTTATCATTAATTATTTTTGATTTTAAACATGAATTATTATAAGCTATATATATTGTAAATAGATATTTTTGAGAATTTGGTAAATCAAAAAAAATTAATGAAATATTACGAGCTAATTTTGTTGTATTCATTTGAAATGAAAATTTATGTGTATAATAATCTTTTTTAATATGAATTAATAAGATTTTTGAAAAATATTTTTGTAACATATTCGATATATTTAAATATGTTTGTTCAAGTGAAAATGATATATATGATGAATAATTTAATGTTAAATTATTTATATTATTTGATTCAATTGATAATAATTGACCAAGAAGATAATCTTCAGATATTATTTTAGAAGTTTTAAGATAAACTGGTATATATTCTTGAGGATAATATAATATACCCAAAGGATTTGTCATTATATTTAATGGATCTAAAATTAATTTATTCTATTTTTTTGATTACAATATTTGCTTATTTTTTTCTCTTTCAAAATCTGACTAAATTCAATTCAACTCAAGTTATGAATAGATTTGAATTGATTTGGTCCTTTTTGAACGAAATGATGCAGATGTAATCTAGAAAAATTCGGCACATAATGTTACATAACTTAACACCTAAAGAAATCAACTTACTATTCCTTACTCAAATTGATAGAATTATACATCGAGATATTAAGAACATAGGTGAATTAGCTAGATATGAATAATTTCAGATAAAGCAGAATATATCCATCTTTCATTTAACTTTGATTCTTTGTGAAAGTCATTTTTCTGAACAAGTTCTTGTAGCACAGATATATGTAAGAATGTTAGTTTTTTTAAGCTGACTATCATTTCAAATTAATTAATTAAAACACTAACGAATTAAACGGTAATTAGTGAATATTTGTCTAACAAGATCGGACTCTAAAAAAATATTTCTTCTTAAAATCCGTTTTTTCTTTTAGAGATTTGGAAAAAGGGTTTCTTTCGTTTGAAATTCGTTTATAAAAGCAATTTTTCATTTGTATATTCGTACATTGTCAAGTCGTTAATGAAAGTAAATCGATTTTTTTGAAAACTCTAGATATTTTTAGATAAACTTTGGATAGAAACGTTATAGTCTTAGGACTTATCTACAGAATATACAATTCAGTATTCAAAAAAGACTGCCTTAATTAGGATTTTTTTTTAAAAACTCATTTGAATGAAGGTCTCTAGTAGTCGGTTTTTCTAAGAATCTACAGAAAATTAACCTATATGTAACATATAAAAATTAGTTCTAGGAAAGTTCATTATCCAGAACTGTAGATGTCTTTATTTTGTGAAGTTACATCGCTAACTAATGATTTAACCCACATACACGTCATGTAAGCACTTCAAGCTATTCATAATAACATTATATGAATATAAAAACCAAAAAATAAAAAACTGTGAGTATAATTTGGTAGACAATAGGAATTTAATTTATAAATTGAATTGAATTACAAAGCTCTATCTTTTTCTATGATTGATCAATGATTTTTTTTTTTATGAAGTTTTGAAAAATCTATTTTTCTTTTGTCTTTCCTTATCTATTGGAATTATTTGGTTGTTTATATTTTGACTAGGATAAATTGATGATGATTTACCAAATTTTAGAAGCCATCGTTTTGTAATATATGGTGTTGTCATATTAAGAATAAAATCAAGTGGACCATTATCGATTTGTTGCATTCGTCTATCAGAATATCCATTTAATGTTAATTCAGTATGAATCATAGTGAGAATTCGACTAATTATTTGATTAAATTCAAATAAACTTTTTGTATCAATTATGGTTGATATTGGTATTGATTTTGGATCAGTGACATATATACGTAAATTTATACAGAGATCAAATAATTTTCTAAGAAATGAAGGTGATGTGTTAGGCAAAGAAATGGACATAAATTTCATTAGATGTCTAGTTAATCGGAAAATTGAAATAGAATGAGAATAAAAAACTTTCCTTTTTTTGTTTCATACCGAAATAGATGATATGTTTGATAAGTGATGATTTTAGGTCGTGAAGATAATTGAACTAACAAAGACAAATAATCATTGAGATAAACATTGTCTGGTTCCGGATAGAAGATTTGATATTTGAATAAATGTGTTGAAATCTAGAAAATGAAAATTAATTTCGTTTTTCGTATTAAGATTCTTTGAATAGTTTGTTTCGGTAATAGAATATTTTAATCATTAGTGTAAATGTTTTTTTTTTATAGAAGTTCTTATTAAAACAGAAGAAACATGAAGTAGATATTGGATTATCGAGATTTCACTTTTAGGATTTGCTTTTTTTGACATTTAATCATATTCTAACAATCTCCATTATTTTTCAAGGAAACTTATTTAAAACAATACTAACAGTTGAATAGATTTTTTGTGAAAAATCTATTGCTTTGATATAAAGTAATTCTTTATCAATATAATTTAAAACTAAACGATAATAATTAATTACACTAATTAAATATGATGTTTGATTAAGACCAACTAAATAGAAACGTGGATTAGTTCCATTTTTTAACAGATAAAAATCATCTTCATAGATTTTTAAATAATGATCCATTAATTGAAATGCCTTTAGACAAAAAAAAATAACAACAAAATTTTATAAAAAAAAGAAAAAAACATAAATTTTTAAAAAATATTTTTTACACTAGAAAAATAATTCCATTCTAAAGCTATATTCATTTTTATAAGTAATTTATGAGTTAGATTCATCATCAATAATTCGTAACGTTCAATTATTCCAAATAATGATGAGGATATTTCTAATATGACTTGATTACCATGTGGAATACCATTAATTTTCATTCGAATTTTTGAATTAAATATTTCATTAGTAACATATAATGGATTAAGTAAAATACGAACTTCTTCATGATCTTAATTGAGCAAGAAACAAAAATAAAAAAAACTTGTCAGCGCAGCCGCTTTCAGACAAAAATGTACAACTCACATGTTTTTTTTTAGCGTAGAGATATACAGGGTCACTCTTCGACAGGTCAGGATACGATAAGGGTTAGAAAATATTTCCAGTCATGCTTAAAACCTCTTGAGTTAATCCTAGAATTGGACTCAGCCGATTTCGTGTCTTAAAGTTTCTCGTTATCCAGGACCAAGTTCGGAGATTTTGAACCCGATGAACTCTACTCATAGTAGAGGATCCGGGAAAAGTTTACCTTGCAAACATCTACTTTAGCTTCATTATACTAATGCAAAATATGTAAAACGAAAAATTTCTAGGAGATTATAGTTGTTTATCACATATAATCAATTAGCAAAGAAATTATCTGTTTTATTTATTTTTACATGTCGAACAAAAATTTTTCGTTTTCTAGTAATGCTTTAGTTTTTGTTTGCTTTGCTGCTTTTTATTTTCGTATTTCGTTTTTCTTACTTTAATATTATTGTTATTCTAACTATTGATTTCACTGGCAAATAAGCTTATTGTAAGTATCCATTATTTCTATGCTTTTTAATCAGTCCACGCTTTTTTTATGTTAATCATATGATAACTATGGTAAACCAATGCATTATCATCTACCATCATTGACATTTTGAATAGAAATTTTTATTTGTGAAAAATTAAAACAAAAACTGCACAATTTAGCACTTCTACAGACGTATTCCAGCCATTCATATTTCAAGAGAGGTCTTAAAATGCTCTAGAACAGTGTAAGTCTTGCTGGTAATGCCATTCAGTATCTTTTACGATCGTTATGATAACTTATCTAATGACTGTGTTCTCCTCTCTTATTGTTGTAGGATAGAAAACTGTAAAACTTGACTATATTTTTATTCGAAAAAAATATAATGTGAGGTCCATAACGAAAACAAATTTCTATTTGTATCAACACTTACTTAATTTAGTTATAGCCCAAATAATAATATCTGCACGTGTACTAAAATTATTGCATTCAAGAATAATTTCATCATGATATGGATAAATTATCATTGGATTAATTGAACAAGAAAATGTTCGAGTATGATTAATTAAATGAAATTTTGCTTTGACTATTAATCTTTTATTTTGATTATTAATACAATTGAAAGATATTGGTGGAACTCTATTAGTAATTTGAATTCTAAATAATGCAACATCGCGTGATAATTTTATGTAAGAATAAACAATTGAATGATTTAATTTATTATAAGTTTCATTAAAATTACATTTAACACAATATAATATTAATTCAATATTTGATGTTGATATATAATAATCTGTATGATTTGGTGATTGTTGTACACAATTATTTCGACATATGAGATGACATAGACGATTTTGATCAGTTATAATTTGATAATAACGAATAATGGAATTTTGACTATTAATATTCGATTTAATTTCAATCATATGATCATACATATTTGTTAGATGATTTGCATATATTTTATCATAGTGTTCATTAAGATGATTAGTCCTGATTGAGAAAGATGATTATCAGATTGTAGTTTCTGATTAAAAGAATTTTTACCAGTACTTTCAATACAGAATATTATTTTTTTTTTCGATTCTATATAAAACACTCTAATTGACTCGAAAAGAAATTATAGGAGAAGAAATGAGATTCATTCTATATTACTTTATAAATAGCTTTGAAATGAATATTGAAATTATTGAATATAATCTGAAAATTGCTGATATCGAAAATTTCACAAATTTAGTTAACTATTATAATTTCTATTTATTTCAGATTCTGTTGTTATTCTTAAACACGACATATTTTTACCGATTCAAAACTTTCAGATTTTCCATTGTTTTTCTGCTCCATAGACGCTTCGAAGTGTACTTGATCTATTGGACATATTTTAAAAATAAATACCGAACCAAAGTTGTCATATCTTGGTGCTGAAATATTCTGCCTTTTCACATCATACACTTAAGTTGATTTTTCATTGAAAAACTTGAGACAATAAAAGTTATGATAATGGTCGTCTGCATTCTATTATTACTTATATGATTCATTTGATGTTGTATTCCAAAAATCAACATCAATATCGAAAAGTTCTTTTTGAGACTGAGACATTTTTTTAATAAGTTTTTGCAATGATATGTCAGTAGATTCAATAGCTGTGCAGATAGACTTTTGTTAAAATACTTCATTGTGGTCTCAAAAAGAGTATGAGTGGGTATGCTGACATGAGCCTCATCTTCATACACATCCATACTTTATAAATTATCTATTGATAGGAATATTTACATGAAACTAGATAAGTGGCAATAGAATTAGAGGATATCTTTCGAAATTTTTACAGTAAATCAAAAATAATATCAATAATCATTACTGCTTTTTCATTCATGGAAAAATGCTCATTGATTCTAGATAATCAAATCTTGTTCGACGACAAAACTGCATAAGACAACAAATGTGAACAACATGATTATCAAGTCTTATAAAGTTTTCACTAGAAAATATCATAACTTTACCATTCATTATTTGGTAAGACTGTTGAAAGACGTATAAATCCAACAAATGTTATATTATCACCTTTAATTGGTATGAATAAACGTAAATGTTCGTCTAATACATGTCTGAAATTAAAAAAAAAAGTCATTAAAAAAAACATTTGATGTATATTTTAAAATCAATTAATTACTGATACAAAGTAAAGATACATTGATTAGTATTTGTTCTAGAATATCTACATAAAATAATATCTATTCGAAATGTTGTTATTATGGATTCATTTTTGAAATAATCATGTGTACATAAAATATATTGTCTTGATGTTATTACATTTTTATTAATACATGTTGCATTACGATAAAATTCATTATCAGATAATGAAATATTATTTTCAATGGTCACCTAAATATTTCATTTTGAAAGATTTCTTTTTTTAGTTTGTTCAAAGGTTTTTTTTTTTTCATTAATACTTTTTCATAAATACGATCAATAAAATTAGTTGGTTTTATACTTTGTTCATATGAAATTCGTTGAGAAAAAAATAATGGATTATTAATACTTATATTAAGTGTATCACTTTCATAAAATGTCATATTTGTTAAACTCAATTTATCTATTCGTACTTTTGTCATTTGTAAATAACATGTATATTTATGTAAATCACATTTATGTGATATTAATTGAAAATGAAAAGCTGATAGATAAATTTTACTAGAAATAAAACCATCAAAATAAATTAATGGTGGTTGTAAACATTGAAATGTTGGTACAAAAAAGTCTAAAAATGAATATATCTATTAAATAAAACAAAATATAAAAGTTATTTCATACATAATGTAAATTGTTGAACAACAGTATTATTATATAATTGTTGTCCTTCAATAAACTGAACTCCAGCATCACTAATTTCTATATCAAATTCAACCTAATGATACATAAAAAAAAAAGAAATTATTGATATATAATCATTTCATTACAATAGTTATTATTTTAGTTCAAAACATTTATTGTAATGATTGTAAATAATCTCAAAATCAAGTAAATTCTATTTAAACAAAATTTAAAACTATTGTTTTGTACCTTCCTCTTGAAATAATCGGTCAGACTACAGAATTCACGTCAAATTCCCAAATTATCCGATACAGACCATACTTTTTGTATTTCAAAGAAACTTTTTAGTCTTATGAGAAAAATCCTCTAATTGATGATTACTTTTCAGTGGAGACTGTGCCGTATGTAGACTGAAATAATCTATAAGTACATTAAGAATAGTCTGTATCTCTAGTTTATGGTCGAGAAGATAGCATTTCTCAGAAAATGTTTTTACGATGATCTTATAAGAATCAAATCATACTTGAAATTGATCAAGTTCGTGACCAACTTCAAGAACTCGCATGATGACGCAGAAAAATATAATCACAAGCCAAAAATCTTTTCTTAACTAAAAGCTCATTGACACTTTTCTATTAAATTTTATCTCAGAATCATTTTCGTTGTTTTTTTTTTTTTTGTATTTTTTGATTTACCCATTTTGAATAAATATTTTCATCTTCATTTGAATCCACTAGAAAAAAATAAGATATCTTGTCAAATCAAATGTTTTATATCTTAGTTTACTATTCATAATAAAATTTTTCCAAATTGAACCTTTCTCATTCTCTGGTTTATCATAACATGAATGAGAATTATATGGTTCATAAAGAAATTCATAATTAATCAATTTTGTTCGATGCCATAGACGATCAATTTTTGAATGTTTATCACTATATGGTACACCATCAATACTAAATTCAAGTTTATATTCAACTGGTAATGATCCACTTTGTAAAATACAATCAGATGAATTACTTTTACAAATAACTATAATAAATATGTTTGCATCAGCATGTGTTTGATCATATTCATTTAGAAATGGTCGATGAATATTTATACCAAATAAAAAGAATAGATTTGATGATGAATTAAAATGTTTTTCAATATCACGGTATGTTAATGATTTACCGATACATGTTTTATGATGTTCTATTAAACTGTACAAACATGATGAATAAATAATGAAAAGAAATATGATGAATAATTGCTTGTTGATTACTTGCATTTCTTTAGTATGTAGAATATCGCGCCATAATTGATGAACTACGCTATTTAGAAAAGTTCTATATTAAGATTCTTTTTGTATTTAACAATCAGTATGCGTCAAAAGTTCCATTTCTAATGAAATGAGTATATTATTTTATTATAATATCGAGATTTAGAATGTAATAGATGTATCTATCTATACTCAGAGGCTTTAGAGATAGTTACTATGTGCATTGTGTGTTTTTAGCTGCCAACGTTTTCTTTGAATAAATTTCGAATAAGATGAGATATTTTGATAGATGACTGTTGATAAGATCACAAGACATTACTATGTATACATCTGTCAATACAGGTCTACTAAATTGATTACTGAATTCATTGAAGATGTGATAATGGAAAGTCTAAATTAAATGTTTTAATATTTTATTGTCACGAAAACGAATGAAAATATAACTAATTATTCGACGATTATGAAGAAGCTAAATTGTTTCATTCATTTTTGTGTTTCTTAAACTATGAATTATTATTAAGAACCGAATTACTTTGAAAAGAAAACTAAGAACACATATAACATTTAATTACAAGTGATTTCACATATTACAGATGTTTCTTCCATAGTTGTGATAGATGAAGAGATTCAATGAAGTATTATTTTTACTAAAATGTGATGAGAACAGACTTATGCTGTTAATCTGTATAGCTTGCACTGTTGTTCATGTAACATTTAGCTTGTGATCATCCTTACACATGTTTGAACAAGAATTCCAGTACGTTTCAAAAATACTCAAGTACGTCTTGTGAATTAAAAAAAACAAGTTTGACTAGAATTAGTATTTGAAAAAATAGTTTTGTTTAATATTCTGATACAATGAATGTTTAAAATGTACAGTTATCGATAGTATATATTTATCTGATTATTGTCGAAGTAATGCTTTCGCTGTCAAACATGTTCAAATAATTTATTTTTGCATTTCTCTTTAGATTCCTATACTTGATATAGTTTTTCATGTCTGAATTTTGTTTGTTTTCACTCATGATCGAATTACAATCTTTCGTTATGAATTCTATTGTTTCATAGACAGATATTTAACTTATGTTTTCATTTACCTTAAGTTTTAAATTAATATTTGTTATTAATAAAAGAAAAATTATTATTATGTATTTTGTTAAAAGCAATAATACAAGAAAAAAGACAGAAAATGCGTATATAGTCAAGCAGAAAAACGAAAGAAATACACACAAACACACCCCATGTATATCGTATGCAGTTGACAATTATTCAATTCTTTTTCACATTTATATTACGGAAAGAAGAAAGTTTGTTGTTTTGATCATGTTCATTTTACCTTCAAGGTAAGTTTAACAAAAAAAAACAAAAAATGAAAAAAAAAAATATCACATTTTTATTAATCATTCATAGGTAATAAATCTCGTTGAATTTCATGATCATCATGTTTTTTACCAAGCCATCGATTACATGGAAATGTAACTTTTTCATCTGTATCCATATTAACAACTTCAACCTTATCAAGAAACCAATCAGGTGATAACTTGGAATTATCATGTTCAATATGTAATTTATTTAATTTACCTAGTTTAAATGAAATTTTATTTGAGACAAACAAATGAGATATATCTTACCTAAGTCTAAAGATTCAATAATAAATTCATCAACTCGACCACGTTCAAATAAATTTCGACCTTTTTGTTTTAATGGTCGAGTACCCGTATCACCAAGAGTACCATAAAGAATAATTGATACATTAGCATCTGTACCAGCACCACTTACCGCACCTGTATAAACAATAATTTTATATTTAAGTAGTTGACGATGACGTTGTTGTGCTATCATATCTTCTTTTTTATCAGCACATTCAAATACATCACCATCATTGTTAATATCAATCCATCTTTTTATCGGAAATTCATATCTAGAAAAAATTTTTAGGAAAAAAAAATAAAATTAAGATTTTATGAATAAAGAGTTGTTACTTAGTGTTTGTTGAAGGATCAGTGATGGTAATATGTGCAACATGCCATTTAGCTTCACGACCTTCATATGTTTTAAGTGGATATTCAGGTCGTTCTTCATGACCCAAAATAATACGACGTAATTCACCAAGTGGTCGACATTCGAATGTAAATGTATCTGTTTGTCCACTATAAATTTCATAATATTTAATAAAACAATATATTTTAGAAAAAAAAAAAGTTTTCTTACCCTCGTAAAATTTTTCTACGTGGTGTATTTTTCATATAGAATTTTTCTGATCTTTTCTTATTTCCTTCAATAACGATCCATCCATGTTGTGTTGTTCCCGCATTTTGTTTATCTGATGTAACTACTTCAATTTCATATGGAACTTTCCCACCTGGTGTCAATGATCCTCGTCGACTTGAATTCGGTGAATCATTACTACATACAAGTTCACGTACAGTTTGTCGATCATCTTCTTTTGATGATAACCATTTATTACATGGAAACGTATATGATTGTCCTGTTTGTATATCATCAACTTTAACATATTCTAAATGCCAAGATTTTTTGAAGAATGATGATTCTTCATTTGTTACACGTAGTTTTGTTAATTCACCCAAACTTAAAATATTTTCAAATGTAAATATATCTTCATTACCACGTTCAAATTTATTCATATGTGTTGAAGAATTCTCTAATTTTAATTCTCCACTATCACCATTTTGACCTAATGAAAAATAAAACAAGTATTCATTTTATATAATATAAAATTTTTAACTTTCGTTTCTCGTACCAAAAATAACAATAGATATATCTGAATCACAACCTGCACCATCTATTTCACTAGTTTTAGTTGTTACACGATAAGTTGTATTATTTAATAAAGCTTTTCCACCTTTAGTTAATGGTATATCACGAAAATAATCTGTTTCACGTGATATCCAATCATTAAGACCAAAAAAATATGTTTGTTGTCGTTCATTTTGTTTTGTAAATTTAACTAGTTCAATTTTTTCTAAATACCATCGATTTCGACTTTTTTTATGTTTAGGTATTATCGTTACACGTAATTTAATAAGTTTACCAACATCATCTAATTCAAATCTAAATGGATTAATAGATCCTCGTTCAAAATCGCCTTCTTCTTTTTTAATAACATGGTCAGATGAAGAACCTTCTGTACCAAATAATTTCAAACTAACATCACAATCACATCCAGCATTTTCAATATCTCCTGTATAAATCGTTATTTCATATGGAATTACTAAACAAAAACAAAAAAATACTTCATAGCAATGCAAAAAAAAAGAAAGAAACACAAATCTTACAGGGACGAAATGATGATTGATTAGAATCTTGTACTTTAAGTATACGTTTCGTTCTTCCATCACCTTTTTGTTTTGATAACCATTCATGACAAGTAAAATAGAATGCTCGTCCTTTTGTTGGCATTTCAATAGTAATATCATCTAGAAACCAACTGTCAGCTAATGTTGCACCATCGTGTTCAATTTCAACAATTTCTAAATCACCAACATCAGGTTCTTGTAAAGAAAATGTTTCAACTTTTCCAGGTTCAAAATGTCGTCGTTGCATCAATTCTAATGGTATTAAACGTGTTTGTCGACCTTTACGACCAATTAAACGTATAAATACATTGGCTGATGTACCAGCATCTGATTTTTCACCAGTTTTAACTTTAACAGTGTAAGGAATGCCCTCTTCCGTTGTATCTCGAGTTTCTTCAGCTATACTTGACATAATATTCTTACGTTGAGCACGCCGAAAGGGTTCATTTTTACTCTCACTATCGTTTGATGCTAAACTTGCTTTGGAACCAGTTACAGAACGAGGAATAGATCCCAGACTACTCATTGAACCTTGATAATCCTTGAATAGAAAGCAAAGAATAACCATAGTAATAGAAAATAACGAAAAACATTAAGTTTTCGTATTTACTTTTTCATAGAGTGTTCGTTCAAGTTTCGAATCTTTTCCTTTAGCTAGCCATTGTTCACAATAAAATACATATGTTCTTATATCATCTTTAACTTCAACTTTAGATAAAAGCCAATCAGCTGATATTCCAGAATTATCATGTCGTATTTTAAGTTTAAAAATATTTCCTAAATCTGCACATTCAATTTTAAATCTATCCATATGTTTTCTTTCAAATTTATTTGTATGTGTTTCAGAATGTGATAATTCACGTTCACCTGTATCACCTTTATCACCATAAATAGTACAAAAAACATTTGCATCTGTACCACAAGCAAATTTATCTCCTGTATATACATCAACAATATATTGTTTCACTAGAAGAATGAAAAATTAATAAAATATTTTTGTTTGTATATAGTTTCTTTTTCTCTTTTACTTTCAAGTTGATCTTGAATTTCTCTTTCTCGAACTTGTAATTGTCCACTTTTATCAAGTTTTTCTTCAATAACTTTTTCTGGAAGAAGATCACGTACAATACTTCCATCATCTTCATCTTTAGCAAGCCAACGACGACATGGAAATATAAATGTTTTAGTTTTTTGATTTTTATCTAATCGACGAATTTCAACACGATCTAAATGCCATGCTGCACCTATTTTCAAAACAAAAAGTATCAATTAAATGTCATTCAATCTAGTTTTTTTTCTTTTCTTTTTTTTTACCCCAACCACGATTATCATGTCCAATACGAAGTTTTTCAATATCTTTGCCAACATCTTCAAGTTCAAGCACAAATGTATCAATTGAACCTGTTTGAAATTTGCCTTTTCGATCTGTTTTACTACATAAATCAACTTGACCAGTTGTTTTGTCAACACCGTATATTTCAATATGAACATTAGCATCTGTTCCAGCACCAGAAACTTTTGATGTAAAAACTTTTATTTCATATGGAACATCTATAAAGAAAATATTAGGAAAAGAAAATAAATACACTTATTCGTTATTTTTATTCTTACGTGGTGTATAAACATCTGTTGCCATAGTTTGTGGATAAAGTTCAACTTCTAATTGACAATCATCTTTTGATTTACTTAACC